GTACCTTACTTATCCCACCCACCTATTCGGAAATCCTTATCGAGTTAGCTTCATTTTCGTGCCTGAGAGCGGGGAACTGGATACGTAAGGTAGGTTAGTTAATTGCAGCTCTCCCCTCCGGAACGTTGCGGCTCTGCTCCGTCCCCCCTCGCTTAGGATAAGCTAAACCTGACAACCCACATTCCCAACTCCCAGCTTCCCACTCACAAGTCTTGCATTGCTTTAATGCTCACGAGGATCAAAATCCAATGCAATATAAAAACGGAGTTGATGCACCCGTGCCCATGTCTCGGATCCGAACACGTCCCTCCAGCATGGGACGTGCATTGAGTTCCCGGCCCCTCCTGGATATCCGGAATCACATAACCCACTTTTCCCTTTTTTTTTTCTTTCGTCCCGCGTGATCTTTTACAATCCTAGACAGATCTAAATTAAGAGCAGGGCTAGAATCTGCCGCAGAAGCTTGCCTTGCCTTCTATTCCTTTTTAGATGTTGGTGGGGGGCTTTATCAGAATTGCATTACAGAGGGGCCCAGCCCAGCAAGAGACAGGGTGAGGCGACACCTTACGAATCTAACTAACCCATCAAGGCATTCCGAGGTTCACGATTTTCGACGACACTTCCATCTACCCAAGTAAGGCAGTTAATTCGGCTTTGTTTCTGGCAACTTGCATCTCCCACCTTTGTTTGTTTTCTGAATTTCGGTGTGTCTTGGTCTTCATTGACTCGGCCTGGTACCTACCTAGGTAATAGTAACAGTTCACTTCCACTCCACAATGAATCTCAACTCCTTTTTTATACTCAACAACAATTATGACTCTATCAGCATGTTCCAAGATATTACTCACAACATACCTACATAATAATAGACTGATTTACCATAACTATGTACATGGTCAGTCCTTATTCCAATCACAAAATTGTTCAAAGGTCTTCTCATGAACTGTACAAGTAAAATTGTGTATATTGAATTGCTTCAAAGAGGTTGCAAACCTGGACACCGTCTTGATGGCTTGAATTAAATTTACAAGTCAATTCAAAAGGCACAAGAGCATCACTCCCACCACACATTGTGACTTTGAAAAATGATTGATTTTAAATGTTGATGGTATTATGCAATAGATGTAGGCTTTTATGCTATACTGAAATTCAAAAGGTCAAACGCCGAGCTCCCATGCTCAAGGCTCAAGACGCGCTATGCCAAGTCAACGCCCCCAAAATCATATCATTATACAAAAGTATGTAAACTTTCGTGATCCTTTGCCCTCGCATTATTTTATTCGTCATCCTCGTCCTCATCCTCCTGGAGCCAGCCTCGGCTCATCTCGACAGCTCGCTCCCACCTCTTTCGTGATCGGCGGACAGTCTTCTTGTCAGTCTCGGGGTAGAAGATCTTGCGGCCCTTACGGTTGACTTCGTGCAATTCCTCTAGTTCGTCCCATACACCAGTGGCGAGACCCGCAGCAATGGCGGCGCCGAGTGCAGTAGTCTCACGCATAGCGGGGCGGTCGACAGGCACACCACTAAGGTCGGCCTGGGTCTGCATGCAGAGGTCCGAGTTGGAGAGGCCGCCATCAACGGCCAGGATGTCGAGGGCATGGCCAGAGTCAGATGCCATAGCATCGAGAATGGCGGCTGTTTGATGGCAAGTAGCCTCGAGAGTAGCTCGCACAATGTGGCCCTTGTTAGTGTGTTGGGTGACGCCGAAGAGAGTACCCTTGGCATCATCAATCCAGTAGGGGGCGAAGAGACCACTGAAGGCTGTCACGAATGTAACACCGCCGTTGTCAGGGACGCTTTTGGCGACAGTATCCACCTCTGAGGAGGAGTTGATGATGCCGAGGTTGTTCTGGAGGAACTTGACACCAGAGCCAGCAACAGCGATGCTGCCCTCAAGAGCGTAGACAGGCTTGCGACCCTTTCCGAAGTCATATGCAACAGTAGCAAGCAGTCCGGTCTTGGAGATGACAGGCTCGTTGCCAACGTTGTAGAGAAGGAAGCAGCCGGTACCATAGGTGTTCTTGGCCTGGCCTGGCTTGAATCCACATTGACCGACAAGTGCTGCAGACTGGTCTCCCAAGCAGCCAGCGATGGGGATACCCTTGAGAGGCCCACGGGCGAGAGACCCGTAGGCAGTGGGGTCAGAAGAAGGCACAATCTTGGGCAGGTTGAGCTTGGTGCGGTCGACCTCGAAGAACTTGAGGAGCTCGTCATCGTACTGGAGGGTCTTGAGGTTCATGAACATGGTGCGGCTGGCGTTGGTGGCATCTGTGACAAAGATGGGTCCGCCCTCACGATCTTGTCCACCGTTTAGCTTGTAGATAAGCCAAGAGTCGACAGTGCCAAACGATAGGCGGCCCTCATCGTAAGCCTTTCGGACTGACTCAACGTTTTGAAGGACCCAGAGCAGCTTGACACTTGAAGGGTAGGTAGACAGTGGGAGACCACAAGTCTCTTGCAGCTTCTCAGCACCAGGCTTGTTCTTGAGCTCACGGACGAGAGAAGAAGTGCGAGTATCCGGCCAGACAACGGCGTTGTAAAGAGGCTCACCAGTAATGTTGTCCCAGAGGATAGTAGTCTCACGTTGATTTGTGATACCGATAGAGCGGATATCCTCGATATGGTGGCCCTTTTCGCAGAATTTCTCTGTTGCTTTCTCGATGCATGTCTCTACAGACTCGAGGAGTGTCATGGGGTCATGCTCGTGCCACCCAGAGTTGGGATAGTGGTTTTCAAACTCAATCTGGTGACTCACAATGGGCTCTCCATGACCGTTAAAAATGAGGAAGCGAGTTGATGTGGTGCCCTGGTCGACACTACCGACGAACCAGTGTTTTTGCTTCTCCTCTGCTGTCTCCTCGATACCTTCAGGGAGTTGCTCGTGGTCTGACTCAGGTTTGACGGAGAAGAAGTCTCCGGTAAGGTCTGCAGCCTCGGCGGCCTTGAGAAGACCCTGTGGTAATTGCTCCTCAAGGAGGATATCAGCAGTTCGTGGGCGCTTAGACTTGGGTTCTTGCTTGATGAAGTCCTTGGGATTTATATCATCGAAGTTGTCCTGCACCAAGCGAGGTGCGTCCGCTGTTGTGAATTGTTGCATCCTTGCACACGATGTGGTTGAGAAGGAGTTTATGAATCTGAGGTTTGTGATATCGTGGCAAGGGGGCCGTCCCTAGCAAGCACAAGGTTGTTTCTGCAAAGGATGTGGCGTAGTGTGTGGGCGTTTATGGCTGACAGCAGGTGGAAGGAGTCGTTGCCAAGGAGATAGATTGCTGTGATATAGATAGATAGGAGGAGGAGGAGAAGTGGTTGTTGATATAGATTTAGATCGGTAGAGAAGATGTTTGATGAGTGATGGAGAACGTAGAATAGGATATGGGAAGAATGGACTTTGCTGGGAGGAAGTCGGCCTTGATAAATGTTTGAGGATCGAGGGGGGAACAAGGGGAAGGTGGGGGAAAAGAGCGGAGGGAAGGCCGGAGGAGGGCTCGGGATTCCATTGTAAGTTAGGAAGGCGCGGGGATGGGGGATTGCGTCTGGAGTCAAAGTTTGGTAAGGGTCCGTAGGGGAAGGTAGGGCAGGTCCAACTAACAGGCACATGTGCAATGCTGACGAGTTGCCAATGCTAAACTAACACCCACGCCCAGGTCCGGATAGGGAAGGAGAGCGGGGTGATTTGGTTGGGGATGCTGGGATGTTGTGTATGTATGCTCTAGATGCTGTGCCTCGCTGTAAGTTGAGATCGATCGCCGGAGACGAGTTCAAAAGCAGGTTTGATTTTCGGCCGGCTACTGCCATCATAAAGTGGGACATTGCTTGCCATACCCCAACCCCACTTTGCAGGTCAGGCGGACATGCGGAGCCCCAACTTCAGGGCACGTCCAGCGGGACACTGAAGGAATTACTGACCACGCCTTGATGCCCACCTTGGGGAAATTGAAACTTGGATCATGAGGGCAGACTGAAATTAACTTACGAAGACGTAGAGCACGCTTGGAGCTATCTGAAGAGCTATTTTTTATTTTCCAAGTTCTAAAATAGCACAAACTGCATCCAATTTAACCAAAGCAGTAACCCGCCAGAGTTTCTTTCCCTCATTGATGACTCCCGGAAACCTTTTTTAAGGAGTGGGACCCGCAGAAGTCCAGACTCTTGGAGGGTGGGCTTTGGTGGACGTCTGCTGGAGGCTCAATTCAGTGACGTTCAGTTGACTCCCCCCCTGGTTGGTGGACTTTCTGTACCCGCCCCCAATTGGTACTGCTCCCACCCCCAATGGCTTCTTTTTTAGTTACGGCTACCCAAATTCTTAAATATTGGGGGACGTTTTTTCTATCTGAAGTCGGAAAGCCAATTTCATGAGCTGGCGTTGTTCCTGACGGCACATCGTTACCAGAGATTTAATCCTGGTTACAAATTTTGGGCCAATGTGCTGTGCAGAAAAGGCTGCAGTCTTTCCTAGAATGGATAAGCGACAGGCCCGGGATTGCTCTAAGGAGAGACACATCTGGGTCTCAAAAATGCATGCAACATGTCATGAGCGACTGCATTTTCTTCACTGCCCTTGCTTTCCAATTTTTACTGGCCTTTCGAAGGGTTCCGCAATTTGCTGCTTCCATTCTTTTCCTTCTACACTCCTTCCTCCGGACATAATCGCCCGTGGGATTAAACCGGTTTTGAAAACAGTGGCGTTACACGTCACAGATGAGGCAAGTGCATGCTCTGAGCCGCACGGGAAGTGGCTGATCATGATCAAAACTTCGTCGATGCACGTATTGGAAGATCGCAAGTGCATCGAGATTCTGGAAATTTCAGCGGCTCTAGACCCTTATCTCAGCGTGGGAATAAACGTCACTTATTCACGTCACTCTTAGAGCCGCTGACCTCTGAGAGCATCCACATTTCAGCAAATCCACTCCTGGACATGGCTATGACACAACGCTATGGCTCATGAACCCAATGACGTTACACGCTTTTCTTCAAAGGCGGGACTGACTCCAGTCAATATGCAACCAAAAAACAATCGTCAAATATCAATGTGAGTTAAATGCGATCGTCCCGGCTTTATGATTTCATTCCTAGTTCTTACATATGTCGATCAGGCCCAATCCTCCGGACCAGCTAGACCAGTCATTGAAACGTCACACATCCCAGACCCAGGGCTCTAACGTGGGTAACATCAAACGTCAACGCATTTCCATCGACAAATCATCTCAGCAGCTCCCCTACAGTGACGTTGCCCAAACCCCAGGGTCTAGTTCTACCCTTGTTGATAATCCTCAATCGACCAACGGCGACACAATCGCTTCTTCATACACCTCGTTGGACCCTTCTTCGCGAGAATCCCAAGACCCTTATGACGACCCTTACGATGATCCAGAGTTCGATCAAGTCTTTGAGAGCCTCACTGAACCCAATTTTATCGACAAGTCAGGAACATCACCGCTTTTAGTCGACAGTGATGAATTTGCTCTAAAACAATCAGACCAGGACGCCTTGGCGGAGTTTCTAGAGGAAGAAACCTAGGAAGAGCCTCAACAACCGCCATCGAGCGTTCTACGTACATGGAGCGGTAACTCGAGGTCAGCGGATGAGTATGACCCGCTATTACAACACTCTTCACCGCGTCCAACAGCCGATATACCAGAGGGCACCATCGGATATGCACCTTTAGATGAAGGTATAGACTGGAGTAATGTCCAAGAACACACCCGCAATGAGACAAAACCTGGATCGACAGTCGGTTTCACAACTGTGAACGGGAGCAAAGCCCCCGAACATGAATCACCGATTGCTAGACGAAAAACATCCATCTTTTCGCAATCTCGATCATCAGCACCCACAAATAGCCAGAGCTCAGCAATATTTACAGGAAAAGTTTCGCTGAAACCCTTCAAAACATTCTTCGATCTCCAAGAGCTTGTAGATGCGAAGACTCAAATGTTCCGAAACCAACCTGACATTACCTTTGAGCTCTTCGCTCGAGTCATCTATTCAAGTCGCGAGAACTTCTACAAGAGACAGTATTTTCGATTTCAGAGCCTACTCAAAAATAGCCCGCCTTATATAAACGGGGCACTTCTGGCTTAGGAGGTCGGGAGTCCACTAGACTGCGCGGCTCAGGAGTTACTGAAGGGGCAAGCATCACGTATGAAGTGTTTTTGTCGGTGTAAGTTGCGATCGGACCCAAGGTCAGAGATCGGTTGGGGCATATCAGTGCTGGAGATACGTCCCACAACATGGAAGGAGATTCAGGGGGCTATGGATGTGCTTGGGAGACATGATCTGGACGAACCAGGGAGTTCATATGGGAAATAGAGTGGGACATGACGGAGCTTGCTTTGACGGAGATAGTTTTCGATTTTGTGGAATGTAGACAACAACGTCACGTCCCGTTACTATAAAACGAATGATTTATCATGAAACTAAGTTTAATTATTGTTCTAAAGTCTTGTCTATTCGTATATGTAAAATTGCCACAGCGATCCTCTATGAAAGAGTACAGACACCGAAAACATTCAAGATACCCTGACGCAGCCAGGAACTCTCTACTGGCATTTTTAGACTTGCAGAAACCAGAAATTCGTCTTCCGCGAAACAAGGTTATACTCGGTTGGGTTTCAGCCTAGCTGACGATGGGCGATGCATTATGAAAAGAAATCCCTTCTTGCGCTATGCCAGCCAGTCGTGACAGAGCCTTCGAACATCTAGTTTGGCATGATGAGATTCAGGTAAGGGGCCATTTGTTTCTGCGCAGCAGATTTGACCTGTCTAAGCTCCGTCAGAGTAGGAGGCTTTGTGTTTCCTTGGCGTCGCAGCCAGCTCTCTTCAGTCTCGAGGAGTGCAGCATCATCATCTTTGCCGGTAGGGTCGACAAACTGATATGACCGATATTCACAGTTTGACCAACCGGTAGCTTGAGGTGCTGATTAGAGAGCGAATAAACCATGGATTCTCAGGGGCTACTGCTCACCTCTTCCTTCAGGCACACCGTACCAGTCATCTGTCAAGAAATGCAAGAATCCTCCGTGGGAGACGACAACAATGTGCTCGTCGCCACTAACACGATCTCTCAACATTTTTCTGGCCTTGAGGCCACGCGCCGTCAGCTTCTCTAGCGTAGGCTCATACTCACTGTCAGGACCTTTATCAGTCCACGACTCCTCTACGTTGGAGAAGTCGGCGATTCCCTCAAACTCAGCCTGGGCCTTGGCTACAGGCGAACCAGTATCACAGGGATTGGCGGAGACCTCCTGAAACACTGGAAATGTGACGATGGGCTTGAGCTCATCAGTTCCAAAGGCGTGGAGGCAGGTATACACCGTACGGCGCATAGGTGAGGCAAAGAGCTTTGTAAGCTTGTCATGGTGAGGGAACTCCTTGCGGAGTGCAGCGCATTGCTCCTCGCCAAGGGGAGTCAAATCTGGGTCTTGCATCTGCTCATTCTCGATCGAGAGGTTGTGGAAGCCTTGAGCGTGGCGAACGAGGTGAATAGTTGGAGCCATTATGATGCTGATGTGAAGATTGAGCGAGATTTCGAGTAAGTAATGTATGATATATCTAGGATGAGATAGTGATAATGATGATGTCTAATGTAGAACTGAAGAGAAGATGGTTCTATTTAAGAGCCAGAACAATGATTCGTACGAAAACAAGACGAGGAAATAAAAACATGTTTGTAAGAAGCTATGACTCCTGCCGTGTCATGATCTCCGGGTCCGGTTTCGTCAGCGGAGCCCACCATTCAAGTTGCGCGGCGTGTGCGGCCGACCTGCAGTAGCTTACACCGCCGCCACGGAATGCTTGATATTGGCTCGCCTCGATTACCTTATTTGTATACTCCGACTCGGCTTATTGACTACAATAGTAGATGATTCCAGCAAACTTTTGATTCATCAACAAAGAGAATAGTCAGGAGACGACTGTGGACATAATCGCTTTAGTCACGTCTACACAAACAATGAAATCATCTCAAGGGTCCCATTCTCCCTCACCACAGATTCTTTTTCACGAGTCTATGTGCATGTTGCGCCAAAGCAGGCATAGGTATCACAGTTTCAGTATCTTAACTACCAGCACATATGACTATGCCTGTTCACGCGCCCAAGAGTACATCCATTCTGGTCTTCTAAAACTGACAACCCGGTAAACGCCAGTTTGACTCATTATAGTAGTCAAACACCGGATATAACACATAGGCAAGATCAACGATGCAGACCATCTCCAAATCTAGAACTCAATGAGAGCCTCCTCCTTAACGGGTTGCTTGACGGGCTCCTGTTGTGGTACTGAAGGGAATGAATCTTGTGTGTAACCACCGTATGCCCAGTTCTGCGGTGCGACAGGTGGTTGTTGGTGTGACTGGGGCATAGATGGCTGCCAGTACGCTTGCTGCTGTGGGTGAGGTGCTTGCTGGGTTGGTTGGGGCGGTTGAGGCTGAGACGGTTGAGGCGGCTGGGCATGTTGCATATGAGGAGACTGCACAGGCTGGACTGGTTGCGCAACCTGAGCGGGCGTTTGGCCAGGAGTTGGCTGTGAGGGAGCAGATACCGATCCTCCAGGATATTGGGAAGGCTGCTGCAAGTTAGGGTATGGTGACTGATTAGCATCAGGTGCAGATGGTCCCACAGGGGTCTGCTGAGGCTGCTGGGGTGTAAGATAGTATGAAGAATTGGGGTCACTGGCAGTTGGAACCTGGGGCTGTTGTGAGTTTTGTGTATGCAGGTTGGGATCGTTAGGTTGTTGCGGCGGTTGTTGCTGCTGGTACGGATCTTGAGGTGCCGAGGGCGCCCTGTTTTGCCAACTATCGGCCCGTTGCACCTGATGATGAGGAGGGTATTGGCCGGGCTGTGCTTCCGGCGCGGATCCATAAGAAGGATATTGAGGCTGAGGTGTTGCATGCGGTGGTGGCTGTTGGTAGTGCTGGTGTTGAGGCGCCTGATAACTGGCTCGTTGTTGACCTGTATAAAAGCTCTCTGCACCAGCAGGGTTGCTGGGCATCTGGGAAGGAATGGAAGGGTACGGCCCAGCAGCCTGGCGTGGCGGCGGCAAGTTATATCCCCCAAGGTTCTGTTGGCTGTAGGCTTTGGAAAGTCGATCCTCTAGCATACGATCATAATATCGAACAACTGTGGAGAGTTTCGCATGAAGATCGAGAAGTGTATCTGAGATTGGGTTAGCATCTCAATTCCTTCAGCAGAGAAGGTATACTCACCATGCTTGCTCATAGTCTCTCCGTAAGTTCTTGCCAGCTTGGGCCGTAATGTACCGATGCTGTCATAGAGTTCCTGGATCTGTGGCTCTCGTAGAATGGTTCCTGGTGGCTGAGTCTGAAGCCGGTCCACCAGTGTTGAGAACAGGTTGATGTTCTCTGCCTCCACAGGAGTCAATTCATAATCGTTCTTGGGAAGAACAAAGTTGGTGGTCGCAGAAGCGTCCATAGAGCTGGACGTCTGTTCCTTGAGTGCCGCGGCGTGTCTCTTCTTCTGCTCTTCCATATCAGCCAGAGAGGCAGCGATGGCGGCCTTGAGGTCAGCATCGTCCTCCTCTGCTTGTTTGGCCGACGAAGCGTCACCGTTGGTTGCGTAAGAAGTCTGAGCCGGTCCAGCATAGCCGTGAGAATGGGTCTTAACCTCCTCCAGGCTCATTGCCAATGCCTTCTTCAGATCTTCGTCAAATCCATCGTCAACTCGAGCGTTCCGAGGCTGCATGGCTGATGTGCTTCGTGTCTTATGGGGATATGTCGGCGATCGGTCGAGCGATGGGTTGGGAATCTTATGTCCCTTGTTGGTAAGTTTCGCATAACAGCCATCATCGACTCGCACGGGCGTCATGATCCCCAGGTGCGGGAGAGCGACAACTTTGGCCGAACACTGCTGGTCAAAACAGTTGCCGCAGTTTCGGCAATGATGCTTTCGGTTGGTAAAGGTAAATGGTGTTCGACATCTCATGCATACGTCGGAGTCCGTCCATTCCGGAGGCTGATAATATCGTTAGTTTTCCCCATTGGGTGACTATGGCAAGAGTCGTACTCACAGCGCTACTGTCAATCATGCTGCTGGCCACGGATATCTTGGGAGGGAACTGGTATCCATCGCGTTGTAGGGTCCGATAAACCTCACCGATGTACGAAAGCTCGTAGCGACCTTCAGTAGCACCCGCCCAAGATTGTATAAGCTCAAGGATTTTGGATTTCACGTCAGCATTGACAGCACCGCCTCCTACAGCCTGAAGTAGCGAAACAAGGTTATCCATAAACTCTCGCGATGCGACTTCAGCAAGGAAATGTGAACCGCCATTTTTAACGCAAGTATCGGTAAGCTGAAAGGAGTCAGCTTTGGTAATTGTTCTTAAGTCGAGGGGATTCATACGTTTAAAGCGCTCAACTGTGTATTGGGGTTCTTGTTGCCGATGCGTTTCTTGAGGGAGCGCATTGCCTCTTTCGGCGCAACCGTCTTGGATCTGATGACATCGGAAATTTCGAGGTTAAGGGCAATATCTTCTCTAAAACCATGGTTAGCTGGGGTTACCAGGGCGTAGGCTGTCTGGCGACATACAGGCTACTGCTTGTGGCCTTCTCGATCTGTTCGTCCAGGGCCGTGTTGGCGGAGGACGACCACCAACTCATCATCTTGGCTTTTGGCTACAGCGATCAGCAAAGAAGAGGGGTATTGCGCTCAGTTGACCAAGTGAATCTGAACAAGAGGTATCGGTATCGAGATGTCTGAAATAGCGACGCACAAGGTCAAGATGCTCGATGAAGCAGTTGCTGCTGTTGATGTTGATGTTAATGTCTGATAGAGGTTCAGTGTGTGCCTGCGAAGCTCCTATGCTCTGGGCTAGGCTCTCGTTAACCCCAGCCTCTGTCTGGGCACGGCGATTGAGGATCTGACGCAGAAAGATGCCTCATTAAGTAAGGTTGTGAGAGCTGTGATTGGCTGAGAGGAGCATTGATTCCACAGCAGTGCACTTCGAGGCAGCCTAAAACCCCACTGTAGAACGCCTGGACTGTCGTCAGCGCTGGAACTACGCGGTCAAGCTAAGCTCTTGTTCTGTGGGAGAATGACGACGTATTCTGTGGCGCACGTGGCTCAGGTGCATGAGCGACCTCGAACAGAGAGGTAAGGTCCCTGAGCTTCGGTACGAAAGAGCGTCAAATAGTACTTACTTCTTGCGGCTGATCAGGCGTCCTATCAAGTACCTCAGATGCTCTCGTATGTACCTACACTATTCCCCGCGACTACTAACACCTCACCTCATGGCAGTCAAGTCACCCATGAACAACCATCCTTGATACCAAGTTCATTCTCCCGACAGTACAACCCCTCTCGTTCGGCGTCCCATGGTTCTTGTTCGGGAGGAGCCTTTGTTTGTGATGTTTCCTCGCGCGATCCTTTAAGATGCTGCATATTGATGCCATCTCTACGCGGTCGAGGTGCTGTTGACCCTTATATTTCAATACTCCGCCACTCTTCGGCTCTGTCGTTGTTGTCACAGATAATTCATTGCAACCTTTCGCCGCCAAACCCTATTTTCGCAACTTGAACACTATAATTTACCTTCGATTCTCAAAATCGAATCTACCGACCGAGACCTTTCTGTATACGACTTTGGAGCACCGAGCAAGGCATCATGGCCTCCCTAGGGCATTCGCGCGCAAGCAGTGTGGCCACCGCAGGCTCACACTCCTTGGGCGGCCCCGGCGCATTCAATCATGGCCCGATACCAGGCGGCAGTCGAGGAGGCGAATCTCCCTCGAAGCCTCCAATTCCTCATATTGACGATGTTCTTGCTGCGCGGAACCTCGACCGGAACGTGTCTGCTCGAAAACTTCTGGAATCGGCCGAGGCATCATTTAAGCAAGCCGAGATCGCTCGGGAGTTTCGCAGACCGGCCATCGCTCTGAACGAATATATACGGGCGTCCATAATCGCTGTACAATTCATCACCAACCATCCCGAATATCATGATCTCAAAACGAGTCACGGCGATTTTGTAAAAGCTCATAACAATCTACTCGCCAAGATCAGCCAGCAGGACCATGTGTATGCCAAGATCAAGGCCGACATTATTGCGGATAACAAGCGATCTGGTGTGCAACCACGAGCTGTTCGACCAGGTTCGTCACAAGGAGGAAGTCGGCCACATACACCATCAAAATCGACCGTCGAAGGGCCCATGTCACCCTCAAGGCATCGATCTGATGGGCATGACATGAATGGTTCTCCTGCTCGAGCAAAACCAGCAATTCAACCGAAACCTCAATCTCTCCACGGGAACGCCATCAAACCCGGGGCTCAAAGAGCATCCATTAATGGCGTCCAAGATCTCGCTGCCAGGTTTGCCAACCTGAGAGGCCCGCAACCTTCACCAGGTCAAGATCCACGCATCAAGACACATCAGATAACGCTCCCAAAGCCGATGGGTCCTAGAGAGATGCCCCCACCCCGGCCGCCCAAGGTTGGTATTGACACCAGTGTGCCTACTCTACCCAAGATGCCAGATGCTATCTACAGCCCTGCTCGTGGGAGCATCTCAGGAGAGGTAACAAGACCGCCTTCAAGCACACCTCGTAGCATGTACCGCACAGCGTCCGCCGTTTCGATACCTGGAACTCCCACGGGCTCATCACAGTCACAAACAGACTATTTTGTTCCTACGCAAAGTTATTCGAACAACTCTATTCCTCCGGTCCCCCCGAGCAATCTCAATGGCTCTGTAAGGGTTCCAGAAGGCGATGCCATTTCCCCCGAGGAATTATACCAAGCTATGAAAGCTAAGGGGAGTATTTTGATAATAGACATTCGCATGAGGGACGACTTTAACGAAGGCCACATTATGTCGTCGTCAACAATTTGTATTGAGCCTAGCATCCTGCTCAGGGATAACCTCTCTGCGGATGACATTTCTGAGAGCTTGATTCTCTCTCCTAACCAGGAACAATCGCTTTTCGAACAACGCCATGCCTATGATCTAGTGGTCTTCTATGATCAAGACTCTGAAGAAATTCCCGAGCACCCACGGAACTCTGACGACTTAGTAATTATATCACTCCATCGAGCTTTAGTTCACTTGAATTTTATGAAGGAGCTCAAAAACTCACCCAAGATTCTCAAGGGAGGTCTCGATGCTTGGGTTGACTTGATGGGGCCTGCATCTCTGGGCTCGACTATTTCAACAACGAACAGAACAGTGCACTTGGAGCGCAATCGAAGCCGGTTATCAGCCATCGAGCGACGGAGGTCAAAATATATCGCCAAGCCTCTCAAGCCTGACGAAGTCAAAGTGTGGCAAGAGACACTCAAAAACGACGACGATATGCAGACAGCATCATCACCCAACTTCACTCGTACTACGGAAGACTTCCTTCGGAGATTCCCACCAGTGTCTTTGGAACAAGAGTCTATGACTTCTCCGGAAGAGAAGCCCCGGAATCGCCCCGTTTATGGGCTATCTCACAAGGTCGACCTCTACACAGACTTGCCCTCACCACCTACAAGACCAGCCCCTGCTTTACCGCGACGAAGCTACAGCGGCCTTACCGAAGGGAGGGACGAGAACGAGCTTTATGGCAACAATAACGCAGTCGTGCCGCCTCGTCCTTCAAGAGCACCAACTATGAAGGCCGTGGAGCAGCAATCCACAGGTGATTCGGCCAAGTTCTACACTGGGCTCAACAATCCCAACAACTGGTGCTACGCCAACAGCACGCTGCAGAGCTTGCTCGCTTCACCTGAGTTTGGAAGAGAACTGGCGAACTCGGAATGGGTCAGCAAGTACAAGGCGCCAATGAAAGATGACGAGAAGATTGAGCAGCCACAGCTTATGATTCGTATTATCTCAAACCTGTTCCACTGGATGAGTTCAGGCAAATTTCAGGTCATGATGGCCCAGACGCTCATGGTAAGCTAATCACAAACTCACAGACAAGAAGAGCCGAGCTAACAGAACTATAGAATTACTCACATCACGTTTGTACCCAAAGCCGAAGCATCGAGCAGTTTGGCGGGAGCCAGCAGCAAGATGCTCAGGAGTTCATGTCTTTCGTGATCACTCACCTACACGACGAGACTAACACACGCCGAGATCGAAAGGGCACTGCTGCCCAGCCAGATACTAAGCACCAGTCTCTTGTGAAGGCTGCCGTTCAGTACTGGCAGAATCACCTCGAATACAATCGTTCTATTGTCGACCGCTACTGGCGCGGTCTTGAGCTATCAACTGTCGAGTGCTTCGAATGCCGCACCCGTACTTATCAGTTCAACCCTATTGATGTTGTCCCTGTCACAGTGGGAATGGGGCGTGGCATGACTCTCGAGCAGGTTCTCGACCAGTATACATCAGGCAACATCATCAACGACTTCCATTGCGATCACTGCCGCCATCCTACTCGGGCTCAACAGAGTCTCTCCTTTGCCCGCTTTCCATCCTTGCTCTGCGTCGTCTTCCGGCGCTTCCACTACCAACATGATTCCTCGGATTTACGCAAATCAACGGCGCCCATCACGTGGGATTTCAATGACACCGACTTTACACGCTACTTCCTCCCCCCTGGCTCTCGCGAGTCTTCATCTGGATTTGATCCCATGGACCCTGCATTCACAGGGCCATTCCGCTACGAGGCTTATGCTGTTATTGTTCATACAGGTAGTCGTACTGATAATGGACATTATTTGGCGTATGTGCGGGACTCCACGTCTCATGACCCTTACGCATGGTTCTGCTGCAACGATTCGCGCGTGACAAAGGTTCGCATTGGCAGCGGAGACCGCGATGATGTCCAGGAGGAGGTGTTCAAGTCTGGCCGCGACCGCGTACCATATCTAGTCTTCTTTCGTCGCAAGGGCATGCGATAAGGCCATCATCGTACCACTTACTTATACCCGACAATTCTTGCCGGGTTTGAGAGTTGGATATATCCTCATGGCTCCTCGTTCCTTTCTTTCTAGAGGAAATCTGGAACACATATTGATCATGAACATAGTCGAATTTGCCACTTTGTTACCTGCTTTCCACCCTTTCCCCCATATCAGCCCGATTCTCGCGAATTGCTACGAATTTCTCAGCTTCCGGGAGGTCTTGTCTTCCTTTTCCAGCGCAGCTTTGTTTGATCTATACCAATACTACGCTACTAGTCTAAATGGATTGCTGTTCCAGTTCCCCCTTCGTTTTTATACGAATATATATCTCGCCAGCTGGCTGTCATGGCATTGTACGGAGTAGGTAGCGTGCTCTTTTTGGTAAATATGCTTGACCGAGAGTCATGGCTCGAAGGAGGGGTATCTGTTTTCTACCAAGTGCTTATTATATCCATATACCAATTGATTGATGATCTAATCTATGTCTTTGAATCACTGTTGGTAACTTCATTTTAATGTGCCATATGTCAAAGCCAGAATGTTAATAGCTGGTTCCGTTTCTCCGACACTAATTGTTTACTGTACACTTCTGGCCGATGGCTTATATTAATATCAAAATAAACTAGACCAGGCAAAGAGTTACAATATTCTACATCTTGGACACCTTTCCGTGGTCGCCAGCCAATGGTCCTCTCACGCCAAGTTCGATTTACAGAATCACATGTCAGCTCACATCAGATCATCCCCGAAGAAAAAGGATAGGGCCGAGTGAGCAGCCATAAAATGGCCCGGAACCGAGTTCCATTGTCGTTCAAAATTCCCTTCAAGATATCATGAAGCCAACGCCGCGAAAGTAATTACAGACTCTGAAAACAAACCCGCAAAGGTTGATACACACGTCTTTCCATCTTCTCTCTTGGTATCCATTCTTTCGACTTTCAAACCAGATGTTCGACCATTAAATCTTCTCACCTGTTCAATCATTAATCACGAGCCGGTGCTCTTGAGGGTGGCAGCGATATCCTTCTTGAAGTGTTCGGTGATCTTGCGTCGGTTCAGCTTCTGAGTAGCGGTGAGAAGTCCCTAGGAGCAAATACATTAGTAAAACTTCTAGCCAGCCAGTGATTGGAGTTGTCCTTACATTATCCGATGTCCACTCTTCGTCGGTGATCAAAACGCCATTAACGATCTCAATACTGCTCAACCCAGCACGTTTTGCAGCACCTTGGAGATCCTTGAGAACAAAGCTGACCATCTTGGGGTTGGTGTGGACAGTGTGGAGGTTGTGCTCATCAACACCCAATTCCTTGGCCTTTTCGTGCAAGACTTTCTCGTTCGGCATGATGACGGCAATAGGGCGTGAGTGCTCGGGATCGGCGTGGACCATAACGTTGGCCACAGACTGGACACCACGGTACACAGACTCGAGTTTCTCAAGGGCAATGTACTCGCCACCCTGCATCTTGACGAGATTCTTGACGCGGTCAAAGACTCGAAGGTGGCCCTGAGCATTGAATTCTCCGATATCGCCAGTCTTGAACCAGCCGTCAGGAGTCAGGGCCTTTTCTGTCTCCTCGGGGTTGTTCCAGTATTTAGTCATAACTGGCAAACCCTTGATCCAGATCTCGCCTTGTGGAACCTTGGCTTCAGTTGAGTAGCCCAGCTCGGGAAGTGCAACAAGCTTGACTTCGCAAGCGCAAGGGGTAGGACCAATGGCATCGGGGGAGAACTCAAGTGGGCAGCCCAGAGAGCCATTGGCGCAAGTCTCAGTGAGGCCATAACCAGCCAACATGGGAGCAACGACCAACGAGATGAAGTTCTTTGTACCATCGGAAATACCACTGGCGCCATTCATAGTGAAGCGCATACGACCACCCGTCAATTCACGGACTTTGCCAAACACGATGCTGTCAAACAAGCTCGCCAGAGGCAGCTTGTTCTTGGAGGCGAATGCCTTCCAGTTGTAGGCGCCCCAGAAGAGGTTCTTGAGGAGAGGACTAGCGGCCTCGAGCTTGGCTGTGATACCCTTTCTCACAGTCTCCCAGATTTGGGGGACGCCAACCATGACAGTGGGCTTGAACTCGCGCATATCACCAGCGCAGTCCTTCATTGATGCATCAGAAAGCGTTCGCGGGTTTCCATATCCAAGAGTTCCTCCAATGTACATAACGAGGTTCTCGAGGGCCATTTCGAAAATATGAGCGAGAGGCAAGTAGGCAAGAATACATTCCTTATCGCTAACGCACTCTTCGACACAGGTGTACAAACTGGTAACTAAGAAGGAACAAATTAGTATGAGGGCGCAATGTGGTACAAATCAGCTCACCTCCAGCAATAAGAGCTTCGTGGGTGATGCAGGCACCCTTGGGCAGACCAGTGGAACCAGAAGTATACATGATACAATAAAGGTCGGATGGCTTAGCCGGGTTCGGCTCGACGGGGTTATCTTCACCAAGCTGGCGGAGTTCCTCGAGAGTGATGATCTTCAGATCAGGATGATCGGCCCTGAAGGCCTCGAGCTCACCACCCTTGGCGAACATCGTTCGGTCGTTGACGATGACGGTTTTGACGGAGGACTTCTTGATGGGCTCTGAAGCTGTCTTGAGGAGTTGCGAGTCGACATACATGGCGCTGCATTCGGTCTGAACGAGAGAGTGCTCGACACCACTGGGACCAAGCGTATCGTAGGCGGTGACAATCGAGATGGACTGTGAGGCAGCTGCGTGGGAAGTAGAGATCCAACCGATGCTTCACACCGTGAGTCAGAAACCAGTGCTTGGATACAGGGTCAGTCAATGCTGTACATACCTGGTGGTACCGAAAATGTGAAGCTTGTCGTCACTGGTCAAGCCCAGCTTCCGTAGACCGGAGCCGATCTGCAGAACGCGCTCGAGGTACTGTTGGTAAGTCAAGTAATCGAAGCCAGTCAACTCGAAGTAGGACCACTCCTTCTCAACTTCCTGGATCTCGCCATCGACGTTCTTCTTGACCTTCTTCTTCTCAGTGTGCATTTTGATGAGCTTGCGGGCACCGACAGCATGATGGTTGGGGTAGAGTCGAGCGCTGCGCTCAACGACCTGGAAGACGGTCCTGGCGTCGGGAGCAGGATAGGTGATGAGGCCGTCCTTGGCCTTGGGGTGGCGTCGAGGAATGGTTTCGCCGGGGACCTTCTCGTAGCCAGGAGCCTCGACAGTGAAAGGAGGCTTGCGCACCTGGTGCAGCGGCATAATGCCCGTTGTCCAGTCAGTCATCTTGAATGCGCGGTAGCTACGGAGCAGACGAGGAAGCTGGTGAAGGTTGAGGTTTAGGTGATGGTCAAGGTGAAGGAGGACAACTTCACAGAATGGACGGCGATGACGACAGTGGGGGTTGAGAGTGAGGGTATCGTTGAGAGTGAGGAGAAAAAGGGAAAGAAGTATGAAGGGGGAGACTGGTGGAATTAATGTGAGGAAGGGACGGGAAGCGAAGCCACGGACGGAGACGACGTAGGAGAGAGCAGCGCGGGCGTGGAGAAGGAGATACTGCATCTGGTTGGCACACACTAACTTTGGCTGCCTTAATACTAACCTACCTATACCTTACCTACCTAAGCAATTGGAGCAACAGAACACAACACAACGGGAGAGCTAGAGTGAGCAAGCAACCTCGACCTACGTAGGTATGGAGAGGCGCTTGCTGCAGGAGAGACACGCAGACACGGCACAGCAGGGAGGTACACTGAATGGTACAGTACCATTCAAAGCCCAGGCCAGGTCGAGGTGGAGATTGTACAGGGTTTCAGCAGCTCAAAGTACCTCCAAGTATCCTAAGCTCGGTTGATTCAATGGCCATCTGACGCGGTTATCTTAGCATCTATTCAAGCACAGGCTTGGCTGAACAAATATTTAGATTGGTACACTCTTTTTCTACCTATGCTTTGCCTAGGCTTACCATACCGAGCTTCCTTTTGGGTCCTGCAGACTGCAAAGATAGGAGCTAATGCTGGAATACGACAAAGGGTTTTTTTTTTCTTTTTTGCAGCGGGACTGGATACATAAGGTACTTACCTTACCCTTGAGATAAAGTCTCCTCCGACAGGGAATCTTGAACAGGACCGAGAAGGGACCTGAAAGATACCTTGTTCAAGATGGAGACCAAACAAAAGCTGAACCCTTTACAGACATCAATGATCAAAGTAAGTGGTGGTTCGCGTAAATAACAGGCCTTGGCGGGATCTGATTCCTACGCCACTGAGAAAAGACTTTCAAAAGTCTCTTGGGAGTTCAAAGGATGATGCCACTGATAAAAAGACAAGTGTCACATAATCTCTCCATATAGACTTTCCACATTAAATCCAGTTCACATGAGAAAAGGTGGTGGATAATGCTGTCGAACTTAAGACCTACCGAGATATTCGTAAATCAAAGTCTTTGCAGCAATTTCGGAAAATATAGGCAAGTACAAAAAGATACAGGTGGGGTCCAGAGCAGTATACCCCTTCAGGCTTAGCATGGATAGCTTCAGGGAAGCTCCAAGGCGCTAAGTCTGCTGGGGAAATAGAGGGTGGGACGTCTTGATTGCGTCACAAATGGAGTCTTCGAAATTGTGCTGGCAGGTTTGCGACACGAACGACCATAGGGAGAGAAGAAATTCAAGAGAGCCCAGTGAATGACAAACAAGACGTGAATGGCAAAAAATGGTCGTCATCACCATCAGAGCTCTCGGCTTCTTCGGCGCAACCATTGGTCCAGCGTCATCAATGCTACTGGTGGCAGATCCTGAAGCCAACGCTCAGTGCTCCCCAGATCCTTGTTGAATCACCGGATCTCGAAGGTCTGTTGCTGGCTTGGCTGTTACGTTGAGGCTGCCCCATTCTCAGTCTATCCCTCACTCGACTTATTGTCTCTTAACAGCCAGTAACTAGCCGACCCTCTCGCCCGTACCATCCGGCGAATACGCATTGTCAGCAGCTGTAAGCACTTTGTTATCGTTATACCGACTACCGACGTGCAAAAGGA